CGCGGTGAGCCAGTCGTACACGCACATCCACCCGCCGCCGCAGGGCTGCTCGTGGGACCCACCGCGGCGCATCGACGGCAACGTGCAGCCGCTCGTGAACGGGGAGCTGAAGCTCGCGGCGTGGAGCAACAACGCCACGTTCAACGCGGCGCAGCCAACGCCCTTCGTCTCCGTCGCGCCGGCCATGCGAACCGCACCGCAGGCAGTGGCGCACAAGTCCAAGACCCAGAGCGAGTTCCTTAGCGACTTGCTGTACTTCCACGCGAATTTCTTTCCGCCGCCGCCCCCGCCGCGTGTGCCGATGGGCACGCGCCGCAGCCGTGCCGAGCTGTGGTACCACTACGCGTCGAAGTGGGACATTACGCACCGCCTGCCGCCGCCGCCACGCACGCCTCTGCCGGAGATGGAGCTGCAGCGGCAAGAGCGGCTTCAGGAACTCACACGCACACCGTACCACGGCGACCGTTGGTTGAAGATATGCGAGCGGTGGTACGATGTAGTGGAGCAGCAGTTCAACTACCCGGCGGACAACACAGCCGTCTCGATCCAGCCGAGTTTTGTGCTGCGTCACATCATCGCTGGATAATTGCGCAGCTGTCGCTGCCGCCCGGCGTGCAGAGCGAGAGCGAGAGAGAGAATGTGGGAGTGGAAGCAACAATGGAGGGGGGTGGAGGGGGCGCAAGGTGCTGAGTGAGAGAGGACGTGCCGGGTCGGCGTGGTACTCTGTGTGGGCCTGTATCATGCCCATGCTTTGCCGTTGTTTGCAGATGATGATAATGATGATGATCCTGCGGTTGATTTTCTTCGTTTCTGCTGGTGAATAACGCCGTCATTCCTGAATTATGAAGAGACAAAGCGAGATGGAGTCGAAGTAAAGAAGAGGAAACCGTTTTCTTTTTTCTTTTTGCGTATTTTTCTTTTTTTTTTTTTTGTGTGTGTGTGTGTGTGTGTTTTGTTTTCGTTCTGCCCACGCCCTGCTCCGCGCAGTGTTGTTTGGGCAAAGGAGAAGATTCGTTCACGCCTCTGTGGCTGTGGCCGTGGGGGGAGGGAGCCGGGCGGTGGTGGTGCGGCTCACGCAATCTATTCGTTTTGCTTCCGGCAGAAAGGCCAGACGCGAGCTCAAATGAAGGAAGGTCGAGAGGCCGCCGTGGTGGGAATGAACCCCACGGCGCGTACACACGAGTAATTGTGTATGTATGGGTCTCATCCACGCATGTGCATCGTCCTATCTCCCTGTGTCGCTCTTATCTTTATTGCACTACAACCTTGCTCGCGATGGCTGTGTGTGTGTGTGTGTGTGT